TAGGGGCGCGGGCTTCGAAGGGGAGCCGCTTAATCCCAGCTCCACCCCTTTAGCGGAGGGCCTGTGACTCAGTTTCCCCCTTACGAGACGGAGATCTTTCGCTGTTTCTGCTCCGAGTATTTAGTAAGCTAATAGTGGAGAGCCAAGAGGACACTGCTGATGGTAATAGTGAGGAGTATATTCCCGTTACTGGGCCCTAGAATTCTTTACTTTTGGGGGTTTTGTTTGTTGTCTTTTTGGGAGAAGGTCTCGCTGCAGTTAAGGCTGGCCTTGAACTCACTATGTGGCCCACGCTGGCCTCAAACTCAGCGACCCTCCTGCCTCAGCCTCCCAAGTGCTGAAATTACAGGCGTGCCGCCGTGCTCGGCCTAGAATTCTTTACTTTTAAAATGTATTGAAAAATTTAAAGTTTATTGAAAAAATACGCGTTTGTAAACAAAGGGAAAGTTGCCCCTCAGTACCTCCAAATTCTGTTCTTCCACTCCTTCGTGACTAAAGCTGGGGCCGCGGCTCGTCCCCCTGAGCGCTCCTTCCCGGTTATGTCCAGGCCTTGGGTCTCCCACCTTGTCGTTGCTAGTGGCCCTGCTTTGCGGCACTTGTGTCTGCCCGCTCCCCCTGCCTCCTCAGGTGGAGTCTTCCTCCCACTTTTCATAAATTAACCCCAACCTTCTAGTTAACGTTTCTTTTTCACTACAAAGATACCGAAGGGGTTCAGAAATAAGTGTACAATCTTTATTTGAAAATCATCAGAGCCACTCATTATTCCAGTCATCAGGAAACAAGTTCACAGTTTGTATTTTTCTCTCCTATAGAACACTTTTAAAGGAAAGTGAGAGAGAGTTGGTGCAAAATACCTCCCAGGGGACAAAGTCACGGTGCTGTCGTGGTCTGTGCAGTGCGGCCGTGCAGGCTGCGGCGGTGGCTGCCCTCTTCCCTGACAGACACGGTTAGCCGTGTGGGGCTCTCAGGACGGTGCTTGTCTGACACTCACTTGCCGAGAGACTGTTCCGGGTAATCCATCCGCAGCCATTTCCGGGGCTCCCAGAACCGCTCACTGACGTGGCCTAATCCTGCGTGGGTGACCAGGGTGACAGCCGCAGGCCTGTGGGGCTCGGCTTGAGCTCGGGTCACATACCCTGGCATCAGCCCTGCCCTCGCGGTGCCATTGGCTGCCCTAGAATGTTGGGTGGAAGCAGACGCTTCTCCGTTGCCTGGGGCACACCGCTGAGTGAGTGGGTCTGTCCTGCTGGAAGCCGCTCGGTCGCGGGTGGGCGCCGGGCCACACAGGCCCTTGGGATTTGGGACAGGTGGAAGATTTGTGTGAGCGTGCATTCAATTTCATTGCAAAATCCAGGAAAAGGAGGTTAAGAAAAACAAGAAAGAGCAGAAAGTTTGTTCTTGTGAAGTGGAGGTGGTTTCTCAATCACCCCGTACTTAGAGCGTGTAGCGCAAGTGTGTGCATGGTACTGTCGGCTGAGGGAAGGTGTGGGAGGAGCGTGTGCCTCCTGCTTCCTCACAGCGGATTTCTGTTGCAGGAATGGATGTTAATTTTTTTTTTTTTTTGGTAGCAGGAATTGAACTCGGACCTTGCATTTGCCAGGCAGGTTTTATGTCACTGAGCTATATCCCTGACCCCTGTTGCAATAATGGAAGCTTGTATTTACTTACTTTAGTCTTACCGAGTGACTTCTTTCCTCTTCTTTCATGTCCCTGTTGCCCAAACCCCACATTCCCCAGAGATTGAACCCAGGGCCACTGGCATGCTCGGCACCCCTCTGCCTTAAAGTCATACTTTGCACCTTGTAAGTTCAAATACAATTCCAAACACCCTTTATTACTTTGATTTTTATCTTCACAAGTGTCCTTCACAGCGGTTCTTCCAAAGGGAGATACACAGCTAGCCAAGAAATCTCAAGCTGGGAGGAGAAGGAGATACACCAAGTAAAAAATTTTTCCCAGGTGTGTGGCTTGTGTCTGGATGTCCCCTGCCCAGGCCTC